TATAACATGACAGAATTTTCTATTAACGCATTTAAAATGCTGTTATGTTTTATAAAGGTGCTAGCACAAGGTTATCAAAGTTAGCTAAAAAGGGATTTATTTCCCTCATAAGATGGGGTAGGCTAACTTGTAGATTTAGGTGTTAGCTGACAACTTTAACTTTATAGAATCAAACCAGCATAATGTAATTAACTTCACATGGATTCACAACATGTTGACCACATTATTGACAGCCATTGTTTAGAGAGGGTTCTTCTTATGTTTTCCTTTACACAAACAACAGCTTTGTAGAAGCATTCTACCTATAGACATAACACACTCTGGCACCTATTTAGTCTTTGTTCTAAAAAAGTTGTGTAGCTTTCCGAGCGCATGATCATATACACCCTGTTTTTTTGTAAATACAATGCTTGAGGCCCACAGGGATCCTTCAGAAGTGGGAACTGTGGATTTGTTTTGTTTCATGTGCTATACACTCGGTGGTTAAACGTGTAAACAACATGAGTTTATCATGTGCAAGGGCTGGCACTTTTAATCATGTGTGCCTTCCTCTAAAGTCCTGAGAAGTATGTATGTTAAAGTGTTAAAGCTGGTACTCATAATCTCCCAGTGGTTGCTTTCTGTGCATCTTTTCTAAACGTCTGGGTCACTTTGGTTTTGAGGGACGTGCCAAAAAAGCATTACATGATTTGTGAGGGGGAAAAAATGCTGCAGTGGGCTGTTGGGCATGTGTCAGTCTGAATTCATTTGCACTGCGTTTTCACTGTGCAGAAATAAGGAGACAGGCCACATCAACAACTGCAAATCCATTCCTCAGCAAACTAAAAATGCATTTTTTTTACAAAATGTTGTTAAGATACATCAGGAAAAAAAGAAAGTTTTCACTTAGGTTAAAAAAAAAAATCTGATCCATACAGATGAGTTTTCCCAAAGAATGTCTGAAACCTGATGGCCGTAGACAGATTGATGTAAAGCTCGCTACACATTCTGCCTGTCGTGTGGGACGTGAGTTGGACAGCGCCGCTGCAGACACTGTGAATTGTGGCCTCTTTCCTGACATACCTGTGGCCTGAACCTCCAAACCTTTCCACAGACACACACAAAAGCTAATCTCCCAAGATCAGCACTAAGAGTTTCACTGTCTACACTGTGTGCAGCCATTCCTCCTCTACTTTTTTCCCCCTACTCATACGGTAATTCCAGGATGTGGGATATGCTTAGTTCAGACGGTGTGCGGTCACGTTATCCTCAATCAGTGTGAATTTTGAGATTAGCAACCAGCAAAACAAAGCTTTGAAAACAAAGATTGAGTATGGCTTTGCAAGCCTGGGTTATGATGAACCCTTACGCTGATTGACCGGCGAGTGATCTTACGACCACACACCCTTACAGTATTTTCTTGTTAGAGTGTAACACTGTCAGCAGTGACAGGAATGAACCCAGTTGAAATAAGCTGAAGAGAGAAGCTTTCCAGCCTCAGTTTCCTGCTTTTGCCAAGTTGGCTTACCCATTATGTCAGTGTTGCATACAAACTCGGAGAGGGCGGCCGCAGTGAATGCAACCATGTTAACGTGATTGTCAGTTCGCTGTAAACATATTCAGACTGTGTGTTATACAGAAATATAAAGTGAAGTTTTCAGTTGTGGTCTAATGGTCATATGGCACAGTTAGTTTAAAAGAAAAATCAAATATGAAACACTTTACGTTTGGGCTGTGTTTTACCAGCAGGGAAGATTTAATGCAGCTGCACTCATAGGGGTAAAGCAGCAGCTGTACTTTCTTATTAGGGCCAGATAACTTTTGGGATCCTGAATTAAATTAAAACAAAATCTGCGGGCGTGCCGGTGGGGCAGCGGTTAGCTTGCATGTACGGAGGATTTAGTCCTCGATGCAGCCGACCCGTTATCAAATCCGACCTGTGGTCCTTTGCTGCATGTCCCCCTCCCTCATACCCCCTTTCCTATCAGCCTACTGTCGATAAAAACGAGCTACTAGTGCTGTAAAAACTCAAAAACAAAATCTGCATTGATAAAACTCCTAACTATGAATAATGACACCTGTAACTCTAGACTGAGATTTTCATTTTGAGACTTGGAGGAGCCAAGAAGTTTACTGTACTTTCCTCCTTTAGGTCTTGTTGAGAGGGAGCTTTCGGGAGATGAACCATCATTAGTCTGTGTGATGAATAGCGCTGGAGTGTGTACCTCAGGACTACTATAGTTGATGGAGTGTCACCTTAAACCTCATCCCTACAGACCATCAGAGACATGTTCTGATTAGCACTTCATCTACTAAAGTCTTTGCGGCTTTGGTAGTATGGTATGAACGCAATTTGGTGGGGCCAACATACATCTCTAAGGAACAGTTCTCAGCTCTTAAGGTTTAAGATAAATGTAAAAAAGCCACAGACATTCACTAACTGATTTTCACCTGATTGCAAACTGTACCTTGCAGTAGACCCACTTAGCAGTAATGTTTGCTCTGGGTGTTTTGTTTTAAAGAGAAACCTAATATGCAGATTTATGGCATGCAGACATGCTCTGCTCTGCCTCTAAGGTTTTGTCCAGCCTGATCTGCTGTGTTTTATGAAGCGTTGTGGTAGGTTACGCTCAGTGTGAGCACTGCTGCTCCCAGGTCTTTGCATGTTATATTTAAAACTTGGCTGAGATCAGCTTAAGTGTCTTTCGTTTGGATTCGCCCAAGGACATTTTCCTGTAAATGGGACACTCAGTAGTTTACATTGAAAGTCACTTATTGTGGAATGGACTGTCTTTTTACTGGCTCCTTTGTCTTCCGCAGGCAAGTCAGTTGTGGCCAGAGCCGCAGCGGTTTTGAGGGCTTTCATCAGCTGGCTCAACGCAATCATTTAGGAGGCCAGCTCCGACCAGAATTAATACAATATTCACATCCATAACCAATCATCATTTGAATACTGAGAGGGGAACCAGAGTTTGCATGAATGACAAATTGTTGAGTTGGACGTGTTTACTTTCAGTTAGAGAATATCATACTGATGTATCTATTATGGGTCTGTTCATGTTATATTCTGCCGGTCAGCCCTCCCAGTTAAATCTTGCCTGTTTTAAAAAAAACAAAACAGAGAAAGGTTAATGTAGAAGTCCAGTAGGACAGTTTAGTCTAAGATTTTCACGTTTCTGTTCCCATTCTGGTACTACTGTTTAAATAAAGACAATAATATGTTTTATATAAGGATGTTATTAATTATCATAAATTCTTAGTTCCCAACACAGTTCCTTAAGAATTGGCAAATAGTGGTGTCAAATCTCTACCCAATACATTTCTTGGAAAACCAAGAGGCAACGCAATCCACTCAAGTTCTTGCAACAGATTTTCTCTCGATTGGCTTCATTTCTTCACTAGATGTAGAACAGTTCACTGCCAGGTAGCAGTTGTTCTCTCAACCCACTTGTATTCATTTATTTATGAATTTTCTGTTGTTTTAATTATCAAAGAACTTTTGACCTGATGAGAACCTCTGAGGAAGATCATCTGAGGGAAGAAAAAAAAAATTACAAAAGTTCTTCTGACTTAATAGTTGATGCTGCATTTTTAAGAAAGTGGCAAGATGTGTTTATTTTCCAAAATGGGAGAAAAAGCACAAATTAGAGTTAAAATGTATGACTGTAAAACATATAAGGATTTGATAAAGTTGGATGAATTTCGCCACCTTCTATGTTGGTCCTCCCCCCTCTGTCATGATCTTGGTGCTCATGACTAGCTTGATTGTTCATTCCATTCACCTGTCTAGCTCTGCCAAGTTCATCATCACTGTTCATCTGTGTCAACTGCTCCAGTCTTTGTTTAACCTGCCTGCTTCCACTCATCAGTGCCAGATTCCTCAAGCCTTTGTTGAGAGTTCTCTAGCATACCTGTTTGTGTTCTGATTGCCTGACCCTGACCCACACCTACCTCTGAGCCTGCCTGTTCCTGTTCTGATCTGTTTGCCTGACCTGTCTTCAGACTTCTGCTGGATTCTGCCTTTGGATACCTGGATCTGTTTACTGACACCGACCTGGTTTTCTTTTCGGTACCTCTTTGGATCTCTGACAATAACTCTGGCTCGAGACAGTAATTAGGTGCTGATGACTGGTTAGAGAGCTGGTTAAATAGAGGCAGGAGTATTTAGATCAGATAAACAGTTACGAGAAATGGGCAGAGTTAGACAGGTAAATGAAATGAATAATTAAGCAAGTCATTCATGCCAAGATCATGACACCCTCATCCTGGTCCCTCTCCTGACCCTCAGCACAACATCTAAGAGGGGCATTAATCATTAATCCCCACAAAGTATATATTATAGAAATCTTCTTTATAAACTTAATTTCTTTCAAATATGTTTATTAAACTTAGCGTGTGAACCCTGTATTGGAATATTACATACTCTTATTCTCTCCCTCCAGAAAATAAAAAGTGGTAAAATTAATTAAAGATTTATTTGACTATGATATTGTTAACAAAAATGTCTGGTATGCCTTACTTTAAGCCAGGACCAATTTGACCTTTTCCAACGTCCTTGAAGCCACAGCCACAAGTTTCCCTGCTCCATAATTAACACCAGTATGCTAATTTTAAATGTAGCCTGCAATCTACAATCTGCACAGCTTTGGTTTTAAGAATGCCAAGAAATGTCCCGTGGTTAAGATTTACCCAAATTAATGGAAATTTGATTTAAATGTGGCCTTGCAGCACAGAGAAATGATCGGTGAAGCTGCTTTAGAAATAGATTTGTTCCTGCATCTTGTTTCATAATTAAAAGCATTCACAAATCTCAGGTTTGGTTAAATGCGGCAACAGCCAAGAGTCACTCCATCAGGATAAATATTGATTTAAATTTTTTTGGGGGGGGACTTGGAAAATTGCATGTATTTTAATGTGGGAATTAATAAAATCGTTTTCTTTTAAAGACTGTCATGGCTTCACTACCAAGAGGTGATGGTTGATGTTTTCTTATTAATATTTTTTTCTCCTTTGTCCTGCAGCGAGCTATGGAGCATACCCCATCTGTAAAGGCTGCTCAGTGTGCTCCAGGGATAATGGCTGTGTGAACTGCCAGCCCAAACTCTTCCTGTTCCTGCGAAGGGAGAGGATGAGGCAGTACGGCGAGTGTCTTCACGACTGTCCAGCTGGATATTACGGCATGCGCAGCCCTGAAATCAACATGTGCTCCAGTAAGACCCCCTCCATCATCTTCCCACACTACTTGATCTACTGTCTTTTTTTCAGAGCAGACACATATGCCTCAAAATTTGAAAGGCTTGCCTGCTTGCACAGGTTGATGTTCTTAGTGAAGCCTCACCTTTGTATCATGTCCCTCAGGAACTAGACTAAGAATGAGCCGGCTGTTTCTCAACCGTAAACACCATAATAACACAAAACATGCTTAAGTTAAAGGTAACTAAAGGCACAACTGCAGTTGACACACAGTACCATGAAAAAAGTATTTGAACACTGACTGATTACTTCATTTTTTGCGTCTTCGTCACATAAATTATTCATAAAATCAAATGAACAACTGTCCAAATTAACTTTGTTTGACCCTCTTTTAATATCATAAAATAACTGTCAAACTTGTCATTGTGGACATACGTTTTTTTTTTTTAAAGCAGTAAACAGCAAACGTGATTTATGCCTCACCTTTAGGCTTAAAACCAAACAACCAAAAAACGATTCCACAGTCTGACAATATGGAAAACCTCGCAAACCAACACATCATAACCAGAAATACAGACATTTAAAGAAAAGATGAGAAATAAAAGTCTGTGTTGCTCTCAGACTAGAAAGGGGATCTCTAATGAATCACATTGAGAGCCATTATTCATAAACGGAGATAACATGGAAGAGTGGTGAATGTTTCTAAAGTGCATCAATGATTCACTTTAGAGGTCAGAATCCAAGACAACCCTGTACTGTGGGGGGGTACTTACCTCACTTAACATCAGTGCTTATGATCTAACAACAAATTCAAGGAAAAAGCTAAATGACAGCAGCATTCAGCTGAGATTTCTGACCGAAAATGAAGCAAATACCCATCTTTCATTTACCAAAACCTTTTTGATTATCCACAGGAACTCTGTGAAAATAATGCCCTCAACTGATGAAAAAAAAATAGTATAAACCAGGTAAAGGAAATCATCCGAAAAAAACAAGCTAATGGTTTTAATTGGTAAAATACTGGCGTAAAAGATTCAATGTCAACTCAGATTTATTTACTTTTTCAGACATTTATAGTATGTAACATATTTAGCCAATTTTCACCCCTTTGTTAAAGATTTTTATTGAAAGCAGTATTTTTAGTCTCTAGTTGTTGAAGAGACCAAAACCTTTGGTCTCCCAAGCTGTGGAACTCTGCTTTACAGCTAATGAAAAATCCAAACAATAACACTGACAAATCAAAATGTTCTTAGCCATACTTGTTAAAGAATAACACTCAAATCCAATTAATGAAAAGTACCTTTCTCCTCCTCATGTAGCACCCTGATCTCATAACCTTATGTTAACATTGAATATGCACTCAGAGATGGAGACGGACTTTGTAGGTTTATTCAGAGCCCGAGGCGTTGGCTGAGTGTTTCATATGAAAACAGTGAGAAACTTGAAGCTTTTTCGTTCCCTGTGCCAAACTTCTGACAGACACACTAAAATGTATCCCCAAAGGAGAGTATCTAAACCTTAAGGCTGAAATATATGAACATGTAGCAACTGCAAAGACAGAAAAGTACTGCTTTCTGCTTAACCTATCATGGCAGCCCTCGAAACAAATCTTTCATATTTTAGTATGAAAATGGCTAAGGATAAAAAAAACTACGATTTCATAATATTTAAAGAATAATGTTGCTGTTTATAAGAAAATATGATTAATCTGCGAAATGCCATTAATCTTTAACAAAGTTGTGAAAGGTATGTTTTACATAATTGTTCTTTCTCCTTCCCAATGATTACATTATATGATCATCTGGAATCTTAATGTAAGAATTCGGATGCTCCTTGACAATGCAAGGCATATCCGATCCGAAGTTGTAATGTGAGGTTGTTTTGGACCCAATCTGCAACTGGACTAAGTCAGACGGCTGAAATGGATTTATTTTAGTGAACATTTTAAGGAATCAGGGATGCGGGAATATACAACGGAAAAAGGAAACAAAAAATCAAAACTAGAAACCCAAATGCTATAGAGATGTGATGAGCTACGTGAAAACTAGGTGAGTATCGTCAACGGAGCGGAAATACAAGTCAAAGAGAGCTGTGGATATTTACAGAACCATCCCCTGCTAAACAAGCAGGGTTGGACTGCAAATGCCAAAATACGTCTATTAACATAAATAATGAACCTGAACTCAGGTGGAAAGAAAGGAGTCTTGGCGTGAGGGCAAGAAGCAAAACTGAAGCCAGGGTTAAGGGGTGGGACTGGGAGGATGAAGATTCACAGATTTCAGGAATCCTTTACCGGTTCTGGAACCTTTGAGTCTTCTGCTGGAGAACTTGTTCGCATGGAGAACACACTGGGAGCCTTCTCAAAGGACAAAAGGTGGTAAATCTGTAGAATCCGGCATAACAGGAACAGGAACACAGGATAGATCCATCTGGTCACTCTAGACAGAGAACTTGGCATCAGGAACTAGCGGTGACTGATCTGATGGTGTTTGAGGTTGAGGTGACAGCAGTACTGTAGCTTAAAGCCAAATGTGGCCTCTATGGCTTAGGGGTGACAGAAAGTGCGCTGTGCTACTTGGAGGTGAGGTGGAGCAGGCTCCATTGAGAGAGAGTCGAAGAGTTTGTGTCTGGGATAGTGATGCCGCCAGAGTTATTGGAACTGATGCTTTGGTGTGGCAAACAGCAAACCCACAAACCGATTGCATATTGAAATGGTTCAACCAAATGGAAACAGCCGTGTATCAATAAACCATAGAGCTTTGCACATGCAACCTCCGTCAACAAAACTCTTTTTTTAAGTGAGGGTCAATAGGAGACATAATACCGTAATTCTTGCCATTTTTTTTTCCAAAATATGGCAACTTATATACTTCTTTTAAACAACCCAAGATCAGTGCCTAATCCTGTGCCATCATGAATCACAACTTTTGCATTCCCTTCATAAAACAACCTTCAGTCCCACTGTTGTTCTGAGGTGATGGTTCTGCATGTTGCAAATGCTTTCTCTGCTTTACAACACATTATTTAAATCAATGGGTATTAAGGGATTTCTGTAAAACTTGTTGACAGTCTGAGGAGGCAATTCATTTATATCATGTGGGAGAGTAGTGACAGATTGAGGTCCCTGTTTGTACTGGTATGAATATGTTCTGCTACATTTATACTCTGAGTTTTTATCAGGTTAAAAATGCCCGACTTCTACACCAGTATCAGAGTTCCAGAATCCTCAGACATGATCAACTATTGTTGGTTTTTACTTAACTGAAAGAGAAAGACATGTTTTCCACCGGTAACACAAGTGACTTTATTAACATAAGCTAAAGCATCCAGACCACTAAATCCTGATCATGTTTTATTTTGGACTCTAACAGTTCCTGATGTTTTGCGGGTAAGTTTGGATCCCTCGCCTTACACAGCACTGTTAGAACAACATCTTGTATTGTCACGTAGCATGAGATCCCAGAATGAGGCCCGCTTTGAAGTGATCGCTGCTTCACTCATCCCTCTTTTATCCTTTTTTTTTTGGCCGTCTTTCTCTTCTACTTTACATGTGTTGTTTTTTGTTATACTATTCAAGTCCAGCCTTAGGCTGTGGATATTTTATTATTTTAGATTTAAACCTTTTGACTCTGATGTGCCATCAACAAATGACAGTGAGAATTTCCTCGCCATGGTGGTGAGAGCCTCCCTGTGCTTTTGGCTTGCACAGGGCCCTGGAGCTCGGTGTTACCGCTCTGTTGACATGAGCTTTTTAACATAGCCTCTGAAACATTTAAGCAGCAGCTGCTTGTTGTTACTCTAGAGTTTTTATGTATGATCTTATATTCTAGATTTTATTTTGAATCTTTGTGGACTGCCTTTGTAAAAGAAAACATATATACTTAGTAAGGATTCTGAAGAATACACCCGAATGTGACATAGATGAAAATTGACAAATAGAGGAAATGTATACAATCTAAGCTCTTTGGACCAACAGAGTGAGAGAGAGAAAAAATCCAAAAGTCTAACCTCATTGCTTAGGAAAGAGGAAATGATAACATCAAAAGGGTTGCTTCTCTTGTCTTTTTAATGGCCAATGAAAAGCAATATTTTTTAAATGGAGGCATATCCAACATCAGGAGCTAACTCCCTGGATAATTCATGAGTTTAATCATTGGGGTTTTTGAGAACATGTAGAACAATGCATGAACAGAGATCTCAAACTACCACAGATTATGATGAACCTTTATTTACCTTAAATATCATTGGAAAGCATCCGTCCATCCATCCATCCATCCATCCATCCATCCATCCATGAAGCCAATGAAGCTGGGTTGTGAACTTTAATTGTAAATAGAGAGCTTTTATGTTATGAAACAGTTTTTTATATGACATTTTTCTACGTGATATGTTATCTTTCTAGAGGCAAACATGGTTTTATTGTGTTGTTGCTGCTCCTTTCAGCAGCTTGTAGCTACCTTGGGATACACAAAGATTTTTTATCAGCTGTCCATATGAGGCCCCAGACTATTGTCTGTGGGTGTTACCCTGCTATTCTACCAGGAAGATTTATAGCAATTTCAGATTGTATTTTAGCTCAAACAGAATTGATGTGTTTGATGCGCAGTCGTGTTTAGCACAATTCTTCACAATAGTTCTAGTTTAACACAAATCACCAGGGCCGTCACTAGGTTTGAGAGACATGGGTGGCTTAGCCCCTAGGTAAGATATTGCGCGCGCGTAGCGCGCGCCGAAATTTTTTCAGTGCACTTTCTAAGGCGCTGTCTATAAATTCATTATTTTAAGAGCAACATACCTGGGAAACACTTCCCTCACTAATGCTACTTCACCAACTAAACTACACCAGTTAAAATGTGCTAAATTACAAAGAGTAAATGGTAGGTGCCATGCATTACTGCATAAATGGAAGAAGGCAAGTGGTTCGCCACTCATCATAATGGAAACCTTCTACAGAAGACAGTTGTCTAACCAACAGACTCCCAACATCTTCATAAACCCTTAACCTGGCCATTCATCT